GGCTCAGCATCAACGCGCGCGAGCGGCGGCGCATGCACGACCTGAACGACGCGCTGGACGGGCTGCGCGCCGTCATCCCCTACGCGCACAGCCCGTCGGTGCGCAAGCTCTCCAAGATCGCCACGCTCCTGCTCGCCAAGAACTACATCCTCATGCAGGCGCAGGCCCTGGACGAAATGCGGCGCCTCGTGGCCTATCTCCACCAGGGCCGAGGCCTGGCCGCGCCGGTGGCCGCCACGCCCCTGACGCCCTTCAGCCAGGCCGCCGCCTACCCCTTCCCTGCGGGTGCCTCGCTGCCCTGCCCGGACAAGTGCGCCGCCTTCCCCGGGACGCCCTCGGCGCTTTGTAAACACTGTAACGGGAAGCCGTAAGGGCCCCTCGCCCCCGCTTCCACACGCGTCCTCCATCTCACACGGCCCACGACGACTGCGTCCCCCGCCCCGATCGGACCCTGACCTCGCTTCCAGCCCGTGCGCGCCGAACAGCCTGGGCCCACGGGAAACGCAAAGCCCGTCGGACCGGGAACTGAGCTGCGAGTGGGGCACTGGATTCCACTCCAGGCGTTCGAAGCGTCCATTGGGTACTTTCCCAACGCCCCCAGCCATGAAGCCTGGGGACGCGGCGCAGGTGGCCAGCAGTACTCTTCGGGCCGCCGCTTCTCACCCTCGAAACGAAATCCAGGGCTACAGCGGAGTGGGGACTGGCGCGACCCCAGGCGGGTGGTCCCCGGCAACAGCCTGTCGGCCGCTGTTCCGAACTGCCTGGCTCTGGGTGGGCGCGATACAGCCAAGGGGACGGGCGGCGCCTGGCACCTCCCGCTTCTGCCGGCTCCACGACCCTGCGCCCCCACAACCCATGCGCCCGGGCTTGGCCCTGCAACTGCCGTTTGCAAAGGAGCTGGACTTCGGACGCAAGAAGAGCTGGGCAGTGGCTTTTCGGCTTTCCCAAGTCTGAGTTTATGTTCATTTTCTGGCCTAACTAGAGGTGCTAACCTCCAGAGGTGAGTGGACACCAAGACACGCTGCCTCCAAGTCTGCGCAATTTGCCCCCTAAACAGTTTCTGCAGTTGGACGGAGACTGCCTTGCGCCCCTCTACTTCAGGCGGCTGCATAGAGGAGTTCGCACCGCCTGAGCCCCCCTTGGCCATAGGGTGCGAAAGGAGGGCTGGTCTAGCCCCCTAGCCCCAGAGACCGAGCAAAGCCCCCTCCTCGCCAC